CTACTTCCTTTGTTGTTTCAAAATTATCCACTAGTAATGAGGAAGCCTGCACCAAGGTTGGCCTAACCGAAGTGTCGAAAAAATTGACGCATTTGCTACCTTTATCGCAATAGCTGTGGTTGTGAACATGATCACATCGTCCACCTAGTGCAAACGTACAGCAAAGGGTCTGATCATCAGACAATAAACTCAAACTCTTGTGTGTGTGTGTGTGAACTCAACTGTCAGAAATAACATTATTTCTTTCTATCTTTGTAAAAGTTTCTCGGCGCTTGCTTGAATACCATTTGCTGCGATTTCTTCAGGATACTTCATGTTGATTAATCTTGCCACCATGGACTCGAATACTGAACTTAATCTTAATCGAATATAGTAGGTTGACAAACCAGCTTTTGTTTCGCCTCATTTTGTCAGCAGTTTAACGATATTGCGAAATGTATGCACCCCACCTGCTCATCACTATCAAAGGAATTCTTATACTCTTTGTGAAGGTCTTCGATACTCCGTCTGCCACGTTCATAAACTGGCATATCTGAAAATACGTGGTTGTCAATCCTTACATTCCTTGTTTGACCAGGCTTTACTTGAAGACTTCGTTGAATGAACATAATTGTGTTACAATCCTCTGGCTGTCCACACGGAAAGTATAATTGTGTTTTGGCAGTTCTGTTCCACACTCCAGAGTAGCAAATGTCTTTCTCAAGGTTGAAAACTTCACTTTTCCCATTGAGTGCTTTTGAACTGGTATAAGCTGTTTTTGTTGATCTGATAGGCTACTGAATTCGTCGGCGAGCATCCTTTTGCGTGTACGTCGTTCGAGTGAATTTGCCAAAATGCTTTAAGCAACCACGAAAATGTTTCTGCACCTAACAAGTGATAGCTTGCACAAACTTTTGGAAATGGGTTCCTTCGTATATTTCTCATTGACTGTAGTTTGTCGATAAAATACGTCTTCAATTCAAATGGATCAGTCGGATACAAAAGTTGGAGTAACTTATCGGTTATTTGTGTGCATATTTGAACAGCCTTCTGTCTTTGTCTGACACTTTGAAATGAGTTAGCTTTATATCCACCTATAGGTAAACAATCCAAGGCTGTGAAATTGGTAATACCCAAGGCATTGAATATAGCAGCATTAGTTTCAGAGGCTTCAGCGTTTCCATCTTCTCCAGAATCAATATCATACACCTTGCTTTCTTCCAATCTAACTCGATTTTGACCTCTCAGGGCACTTGTCCATCTCATTACTCTTCTTTCTCCACTTTCATCATCATTTCTTCACTTCCAATTAATATGATTTGCTTTATTCGAGCATGAATCCAAAGAAAAGCAGCATCTACAAATGCCACAGGCGAAGCAGTCTCCTTGTTTTCTATGTTTATGCTCCTGGCAAGGCATTTTACAGATTTCACTTATGAGTATATTTTGTCAATCAGAAGAAGAAACTTTTTTAGATTGTATTATTGGATTACAGTTACGTAGTCTGGTGCCTCCAATCCGTATTACGGCTCTGACGTTTTTTTCCTAAATTTGGGTCGGTTTTTCGCGACCGGGGATCTTAAGGTTTGTTTACACATTGTGCAAGGTATTGTGTTCAGTACACGGGAGAAAGACAAAAGAATTGCATAAAAAATGCTTCTTCTTTGATCCTAACCAAATGAAACTGCATGAGAAAGTTAACCACAACAAGGTATATTGTTTCACAGTATACTTCATGGCAGTTACACCTTGTTCTATCAAAAATCATAACAATAGAGTGCACTTGAAAGCTATGTCTTATTCCACGACAATCAAGACAATAAAGTGCGCTTGGTATTGACGAACTGTTCCACCACAAGCCTACCAATAACGTGCAGTTGGTAGCTACGTCTTATTCCACCACAAGCATGACAATATAGTGACTTGGCAGCTACGCCATACTTTATCACAAGTATGACAATAAAGTACACGTGGTAGATGCATCCTATTCCGCCAGAAGCATCGGAATATAGTGCACTTGGTAACTATGTCATATTCTACCACAAGAATGACAATAAAGTGCACTTGGCAGCTATGTCCTTTTCCACTACAAGCATATCAATAAAGTGTATATGGAAGTTACGGCCTGTTCCATCACAAACATGACAATATAGTGTACTTGGTAGGGACGTCCTATTACACAACTACCATCACAATAAAGTGCACTTGGTAACTAAGTTCTATTCCACCACAAGCATGAAAATCAAGTGTACCTGATAATACGTTCTATTCCACCACAAGCATGAAAATCAAGTGTACCTGATAATACGTCCTATTCCACCACAAGTATGGTGATAAAGTGCACTAAGCAGCTACGTCCTATTTTACCACAAGTATGGCAATAAAGCCTACTTGGTAGCTACGCCCTATTCCATCACAAGCATGACAATAAAGTGCACTTGCCAACTACGTCCTACTCCATCACAAGTATGACAATTAAGTACACTTGGTAGTTACATCCTATTTCTCACAAGCATGACAATAAAGTGCATTTGTTAGCTAGATTCTATTCCATCACAAGCATGACAATAAAGTGCACTTGGTAGCTACGTCCTACTCCATCACAAGTATAACAATAAAGTGCACTTGGTAGCTGCGTTCTATTTCACCACAAGCATGAGAATAAAGTGCACTTGGTAACTACGTCCTATTTCACCACAAGTATGACAATCAAGTACACCTGATACTACATTCTATTTTCACCACAAGCATGAGAATAAAGTGCACTTGGTAACTACGTCCTATTTCACCACAAGTATGACAATCAAGTACACCTGATACTACATTCTATTTCCACCACAAGCAGGAGAATAAAGTGCACTTGGTAACTACGTCCTATTTCACCATAAGCATGACAATAAAGTTAATTTGGCAGGTATGACCTGTACTACACTTTATTGTCATGCTTGTAGTAGTACAGGTCATACCTCCCAAATTAACTTTATTGTCATGCTTGTAGTAGCGCTTTGCAGTTACGCCCTGTGCCACCACAAACATAACAATAAAGTGCACTTTGAACACACTCTAATTACAACAGGTGACATCGAAGATTTGCTGGATCTTCTGTGGTACAGTAGTGTTTGTAATGTGGGTTGCTAGTGTCGATCTAGAACGCTGTGCAAGCCTTGTTTCATTTAACGCATTCTCTTGGAGTTTTCTAGTATTAATCATACATTCCATTATTTGACAACTTCTGTCGTTCTTATACATAACTTCTCATCTGCTGCCTTCTATTATGGTGTTGTACAGTGCACCTTCTGATTAGTTTTATACGGTGTCTCTTTTGGCAACTTCTGGTGAGTTGTATGCAGTTTATGGAAGCTTCACGAGGGCTATCTGCGCTAGCCGTGCCTAACTTTAGCAGTGATAGACTAGAGGGAAGGCAGCTAGTCATCACCACCCACGGCCAACTCTTGGGCTACTCTTTTATCAACTAATAATGGGATTTTCTGTCAAATTTTAACGACCTCACAGCTGAAAGGGCGAGTATGTTTGATGAAACGGGGATTCGAACCCGCGACCCTCAGTTTGCGAGTCGAGCATCCTAATCACCTAGCCTAGCCGGTCCCGCTATTCAGTGTAAATGTCGTTCGTCCTTCCTACATTTCAATATCGTCATTTAAGTTTCTTTTGTTAAATATTTCGAAAGGAGGTACAGAATTACGACATCGTTCTTATTTTCAAAACTTTAATAATCTCACTCAATATGATCTGAACACAAAATAAGTAATGATAAATTAAAAGTAAGTGACACAACTGGTGTTTCTCCAAATACAGGTTAACACATTTCCACGATTTTAAGATTTAAAAAGCGCGGAGAGAGGATAACCCCCGAAAGCAGAGTGGGTTCCCATTTCATGAAACATTCACGAACCTGGCTGGAGAGGAAGAAGATTTCAATTCTCTTGAACACTATCCTCCCAGATGACGCCCAAACAAATAAATACATCTTCAACAATAGAGTAACAAGTACATACGTGTGTTCTATTCTATCACTGTATGTGCCTGGTATGTGTACCATTGTGGAATTGGCGTCGAGAGAGCAAGTAGGCGATGGTAAAATGAAGAACAAAGTTGGTTAACGGCAATGAAGTATTTCATGAATTATTAGCTCAACTGAGATCGTCGATCTCTTGTTTGAAATAATTCAAAGGACTACCGACATCTCTATCCATACGAAAGTTTCCAGGACAGAAGCTGTCTACTGTTCTAAACGTCAAAGGACTACCGACATCTCTATCCACATGAAAGTTTCCAGGACAGAAGCTGTCTACTATTCTAAACGTCAAAGGACTACCGACATATCGACATCTCTATCCACACGAAAGTTTCCAGGACAGAAGCTGTCTACTGTTCTAAACGTCTTTGTCTGAGTATTATTGTGTTCTGTTAGCTTATCTCAATGTTTTTTTGTAATTATGCACAAGGCTACACAATGGGCTATCTGTGTTCTGCCCACCACGGGTATCGAAACTCGGTTTCTAGCGTTGTAAGTCCGTAGACATACCGCTGTGCTACTGGGGGCTAACTTATCTCATATTAACTGCGTTTCAGTGGAATTTTAACTGTTAATGAGGCATAACATGAAAAACAAAATAACTAAGTTGAACTCCAGATTTTGTATATTCTTATGTAACAAACGAGGCATACATCACAGAGCATGAAAAGTCGCGTAGTAACAGTTGGATCACAAGAGGGTGACCTCTCGGTTCGCTGTTACACTTATTCAGTGCAGTGCGAACAGCATGTATTTAAAGAATGTGAAGATTGCCCTGTTTGAATTCATATACGTTAGAATACTGCTACACAAAGGGATTTACCTCACTAAAGCATCGCTTAGTTTGAACCCTGCTGATGAAGACATTGACAAAATGTACGTCACATGCGCACCCACCGCCACTGACGTATTATGACATTGTTGAGCGTCTATAGCTTTATCATGTTACAGCTCAAACAACCGCGAATCAGGACAAACACGCAACTTCTAAGACCGCCTACGCGCGGGTAGCACCGTCTCCGCTGGTTACATGTGAACCAGCGCTCACAGCCGGCTCCTACAGTAAGTCTCCAACAATCTTGGTGCACAATTCTGGCAGTGTGCATTAGCACTTGATGATACTGATCTTCAACAATCACAACCTGCAGGCCTTCAGAATCCATTGTGCTGATGATTTGAAGGGTGAGGGATAACCATACTCTGACATTCGTTAAATATTTGTGGTTTTGAAGTGTAGGGATAACTTTAATATTCACTAAAGACTGAAAGTGTGAAAAGAAAGAGATAACCGTTAAAGGTTTATAGTCTAAAGGTTGAAGGTTAATAACTTTACTTTGGATATTCCCCAAAGGTTAAAGTGTTATAGTTTTACGAAAACAACCCATGATGTCTACGGGAAATACTGGACAAATGAAAGGAACTCTTTTCGGAGAGGAGCGAAATGGTCCAGAGTAAGTGTTACTTTGAACTCCTGTTTGTCTTTTTTATGAGTGTCGAGAAAGTTTTTCAGTAATAGTGTTAAAAGCTTTGCCAAATATACTTGGCATCAAATGTTATTCTAGTGTCCTTCAGAAACATCATGGTTTAACTTTATAATGCTTAACGTTATTTGTTTTCGGCACTGTTGACCTATGTTCCATTTTACATTTCATATGCAACTGCTTTCATTTCTTCATGAATGTAAGTTACTTTCCGTTGAACTTATTCTCACTAATTCAAAGGGGGTCATTTGCTACTTCTGTCTCCTATACGATACTTAGTGATGAGTTTAATTTGTATTTTACCAAAGCCATAACTAGCAGGATATACACACGTCATTCATTCTACTTCTTTTCCAGTGTGTTCCCCATTTGGTCAGCGGTCAGTTAACGGACTTACAATTCTAAATTCTGGGATTCGATTAACCACGGTAGACTGAGCACAGATTACTCATTCTGTAGCTTTGTGATAAAAACAAATAAACAAATACATCTCTTTCAGTGAAATGGTAAGGAGTTAATCTATCTGTGTAATAATACTTTAAGTACACGGATGAATTTGATGGCTGACTATCAACTGAATCAGCCAGAAAACCTCACCCTATCTTATTTATCAATGTTATTATTAGTGTCACTTGTGTATTAATACAATATGTCAGAAATTCCAAGTTTATTATGCTGTGTACGTAACATCAGAGACTAACAGTCCTATTTATTATACTAGGTAGGTATCGTCGAAAAGTAACAAACGTATTATACTTTGTACGTATCGTCAGAAAGTAACAAACGTATTTTACAATATACGTATCGTTAGAGAGTAACAATCCTATTATGCTATATACGTATCGTTAGAGAACATAAAGCTTGTTAGACTATGTATGTATCGTCAGGGAGTTATTTCACTTCCTGGTTAACTGTATAATTTAGTTGTAAGAACAAGAGTTTAATATTTAACGTCCTCCTGTGAGTACTTGCAATATTTGTATATTTCTCAAAAGTGAACAACAGTCTAGATGAAATAAAACTACAAGTTATTAAGCAAGTCATTACTTACTAACACAGTATGTTTTGGAGCTAACTTTAGCTATGTTAAGTGATATGAGCATTTAATTTTACTGTGCCTAGCGTCCTTAATCTTAAAACTTGCTACGATAAAATAACTCCAAGTATAAGTTTGAATAATTAACATAAACCACTTTATATGAACGTAATATAGAATTTATAAATTGTTTAGATTCGTTTGATTATTATTATACCAAAAAGTAATTCAGTAACTAAATATCACACTTATAATAAAGTAGTTTATGTAAATTATTATTTATCAAATAATAAAATACAATCTCCCAAACCTCAGTTGAGTTCAAGCATGTATCAATTGAACTCGTGGAAAAACAAGAAGTTTGTACATATCACTTGCCCCTGTAAACCGATCTCCTTTGCAGAACATATTAGCTTTAGGGTAAAACATACGTGTTTTTTTCTTTTTCGTCTTCTCAGCCGAAAAGAAATATTTTCATTTTCTAATCAACAATAAATTTTATTCGCCGAAAGAAAATTATCAGTAACGAAACTGAGGTAACTGATTTATTTTAAAGACTGTAGTGTAATCTAGTCAAAGAATGCAGTCAGTCATTTGTTGATAAAATCTTTATTTTTATTTTATTTTATATATACAATAAATAGAGTTGTTATTTTTTACGTATTGCTTGAATGGATCATACAATATTTAGAAGCTTCGGATGAACAACAAAAATATTAAAAATATATTTTTTATATTAAATCAATAAATGTTGGGTAATTTTCTTACAGAAGATGCAGCTTAACGTGAATATCATAAAAGTAGTAATTTTTGTTTTGTTTTACAATGTTTCAACACTTCCTGTAAGATTGACACTTGTAAATATCGTAATTCCTTTAATTATGTGGTCGATCTATGTTACCTGTTTTGTCAAGATTTTTCGGATTAAGCCTTAAGACATGTTGGATAATGAAATTTAAGCTATGTTATATATTAAGATTTAGAATATATTTCACAGTACGATGTAAGACATGTTGTACAATATGACATAAGACATGTTCTATAATAAGATTTAAGACATGTTACAAACTGAAAGAAGAAGTTTACATGAAAATCCAGAGGACGTTATTCACTAAATATGAAACATGGTACGTGATACGAAGTGTAGTATGTTCAATTTGACCATATATTGTTGCTACATCTTGCTAAAAATTGGTGAGATAGTCTATTTGAAAATTTCACAGTTATACAGTCTTGTGGAAAGGGCGTTGTTATATTCCTTGGACCTTCTAGTGTTCCATAATGTTAGTGAATAGGTGTTACACTTGTTTTTATGGATCTTCCAGTGTTGTACAGAGATGTCGAATGAATATTTGATTTGACGCATTCAATCTAACAATTAAAATATTATTAACACACAATGTGAAAATAGATACACAATGAAAAACATTTTAATTAAGGTCAGTCTATGACCACTAAAAAGTTGATTTTACATGTTTCAACGTTGCAACGTCATCTTCAGGAGAGAGTCGCAAGATATAATCGTGTCTTATTTATTCTAGTTTTGTGTTAAGTAGGTCATGTATAAAACACAATAATGTCCCACTCCTGAAGATGACGTTGCAATATCGAAACATGTAGAGTCAACTTTTCAGTGGTCATAGATTGACCTTAATTAAAATGTTTTTAATTGTGTGCCTATTTTACCGTTGTGTGTTATTTATTATTTGAACATTATACACAAGGGCCAATAAATAATACTCATGAATCTTAGAATGTTCTATAAACTAATCAAAAGAACATTAGACTTGTTCTTTTCAACCTTCCATTGTTTTATTGTAATTTTGAAAGGGTGTTTTTTAAATCTTCCACAATTGAACAGTCTTGCTGAGAGAGTGTTGGACTTATTGAATCATTCAGTTCTGTACAGTCTGGCTGAAAAAGGTGTAACATAATTTTCATGAATCTTCCAACGTTGTGCTGTCGTGATGAATGAAAATTGATCTAGTCTTTTTGAATCATCCCGTGTTTTATTCTTCTGCAGAAAGGGTTCTAATGTAGTTTCCTTAAATCTTTCAGTGTTGTACAGTCATGATGAGCGAAATTTTGAAATTTGGTTTAGTCTTTATGAATCTTTCGATGTTGTTATTTCGCGTTGAACATGTTTTGATCTGGTTTACTTGAATCTTTAGATGTAATTACGTGATGAATGGGTATTTATCTAGCTTACTTGAATCTTTAGATGTGTAACGAATTTGTTATTATATATTTATTTTAGTATCAACGTTTGTTTAGATTAAATTTCTATTTAGAAACATACATAGCTTATACTGTTAAGTATATATTGCGAAACTTCCGCCTATTCTCCAAAGTTGCAGAACATTTTCGAGAGTAAGAATCAACAATATATGTATA